GGCCCGGAAAACAGAAGCATAGACAGGCGACTAAAATTGTTTCTGCTGGTCATCACCAAGGTACTACAGCTTCAGGCCTGGAAACCTTTTCGCATGTATGACCGAGCTGAAATTTAGCAAAAACACGCACACTCAATTGGTCAGTGCAGTATATTACAACAACAACAACAACAAATAGCAACAGTGAGCTCTGACCCATAATTGACTGTCACATGAACATTATAAACTCCCAACGAGCCAAACCAAACCAAACACTTACAAACACACACACACACACACGGACACACACACACACACACACACACGGACACATGACAACTAAGTACAAGTGCATCAACAGCGAGCATGTCAATTTTGGACGTTAATAAGCGAAATACTCTCCTTGTTCACATTCATTATTAACCACTCACCTTGGCCGTTGACTGCAGAGCGAACGAACGGCAACAAGCACAGAGCACTGAGCACTGAGCACTGGGCAAATTGACGCCATGTGGTAGACAGTAGGGCAATCCATTTGCAGCAACAGCATAACAGCAAATTGACCTTCACTACTTGATGAACAGCAGTGCGGCCGAAGATCGGCGCAGCGGGGGCAGGTGGCGAAGGATTGCTTTTGTATTTAAACAGCTAGCAGTTGCTTAATAATTTGATGGCTAAAATTAGTGCAACATTGCACAGCGAAAATCAATAACTATTATATGCCATGGCAAATGAACTCGAAATGAGTAGGAATTGTGGATGCCGGGCGTGATGCAGCACTGGCCATCAAATTGAATGGATGCTGTGTTTGCGTTAACTCTCGCCTTCACTTGTACTTCAATGTTTGCCGTAATGCGGCAGAGCAATTATTTTTAGCACAGATTTATTTTCTTTTTTTTTATTATTTATCGTGTTTTTTTTAATAAATTTTTAAGCGAGCATGTATTTTGCGCTTCGCTGTTGTTTGCATTGTTTGCGTTGTTGCCTTTGACTTTTGGTTAATTTCGATAAAAAAAAAATAAAAGAAAATGCCATTTAAATAAGCGCTTGCCGGCGCTGCGCTACTACTTACTCACTGCCAAGTGGCGGCCAATTGCACTTGATGAATGGATGCAATGAGTTGAGTTGAGCGGCAAAAGTTGGCTAATTGCATTTTCATGCCACTTTGGTTAGCAATTGACCTTTGATTGAGTAACTGCTATTTTTAATAAATATTCCATTTTCGCATTTTGCACGAAGGCAACTTTAATTGAGTAGAGCAGCCGTTGCGCAGAGATGCGTTGGGGGAGAGTCTGTTGAAGGCGTGAAAAAGAGGGTGAAATTAAAGGAAATCAGTGGACAATGGATGATCAAGGAAAGTTCGGTCCAATGTATTGGAATGAATATTTCAATGGATTTTTTTGCGCCAATAGTCGACATTTGTTCATTTCATTCAATTTTTCCTCCGGCGAAGGCAAATAAATCATATTTTATAATTCATTAAAGGTTCGAAATGTTGGGTGCAAGAATTCAAGTTTGGCAGCATAAATAGACACGGAAATGTGTTCTTAGAAACATGCAAGAATGTTTATGGTTTCTCTAGAAATTTATAATTTAGATTGGGTTTGCGCTTCAATGCTGTTCTACTCCTGATACTGCAAATACAACTCTGGAAATTACTTACTGTGAATGAATAAGGAGTAAAAAAATTATAAGCAAACTTCAAATAAAATCTTTTTTGCAAGAAAAGAAGAATTTTTTAAACGAAATATAGACAAAAAATTCAGTAAATGTAATATTATAGGCCGCATGGGTAGCAATGAACTGAAAAGAGAGCACAAAATATGTTGGGAACGAACAACTTAACCTCTAAAGCGAGTTTTGACCAAGCACCACCTTCAATTTATGGTTTGCGTTTGATGTTTTTTCAGCAAATGGAGGGGCTTTTAGCTTATTCTATACCACCGCCTACGTGTGGCGGATGGATTTTTAGGAGAATTTTATGGAACCTGGCATTTTCTACCGAGAGCAATTAGAAATATTACTGTTTCTATAATTTTGGACTGCCATTATTTTATAAGCACAGGAATTATGGATAAATTTTCTTGAAAACCTCCCCTTAAAAATACTTACATTAATTTTATTCTCATACACATACATTTCTTGCATTTACTATTCAATTTTCATTAATAATGTCATGAATAATGCCTTCTTACGAAATAAAAAAGCGTCACAAAGGAGTCCCCAACGAACCTTTTTTGGTTGCAAAAGAAAAGCATTTGACTTTGTCACATTTTCTCGAGGTCATAAATCAATGGAGCTCGAAGGCGAAGAAAAAACTAAATTGTGCCTTCTGTCAGACATTTGTCTTTATACCCACATACATATGTATGTACGTACTTACACATGTGACTGTATGTCCTCTCCTTACATACATATATACATATGTACATATGGGTATCTAAAAGGCTATATGCCATTGGCCTTTGCGCATACTTATAAAAGCGCTTACATTCGTAAGTATATACATATATGAAAGCATAGATATGTGTGCATGTACGTACGAGAATGTCCGCTTCCGAAAATCACTCAACTTTCTCTTTTAGTCCTCTTGCTGATACTCCTTTGGCAAGCAGGACATTTTGCCGATATTTCCTTTAACATTAGCAATCGCATTAGTAGCATTATTGGGCGCCAAAGGACTCTCTATTGAAATGCAACAAAATGTAGCAGACACAGTCGCAGGCCATTGCGTGATGTGTGTGTGTGTGTGTGTTTGTAACATATACTATAATCACTTTCATGTAAATATGTCCATACGGGCGTTTGTGTCTTTATGACCCAAAATATAAGTATCTAAATATGTATGTATGTATTTGGTTAGTGTTATATTATTAGTTTGTGTATAGATATGTATGCACATACCTAATATACGTACAGACTTATTTATAGTTGCATATGTTTGTCCTTTATGAAGTTATGGTTACAAATATCAGCGCTTCTGTTGTGATTCCTAACTGAAACACTGCATCTCTTATCGCCAGTGACAGCAAACAAAGCGAAGCCATGCTGACGTCCCAATGCTATTGACCCAAATTTACGACCTGCTCTGTCTTTCGCGTACTGATACACATGCATACATACATATATACTCGTATGTACATATTATGTACGTTTAGACTGATAATAACATATACTAGTATGTGTGCGAATTTTCCGCGAAAATTTAAACTTTTGTGCGTTGCAAAGCTCATAAATACGCATGCCAGTGTCCTTGCGTGGCTGCGACTACGTCGACAGTACACTACCTTAATCTCTTGACAATGCCTTGAGTTAGGTTCGATGCCTTTTGTGTGACTGTTGTATATAATACGGATTTCCTTTGCCAAAAATATAATTGTTTTTAATTCTTAAACAGAAAATGTTAACAAATACATTTATGCCGTAAGTCGGAAATTCCAATAGTCCACCTATTCGGGCATTTGTGAAATATTCACATCCAACGGGTATGCCAGGCTCCGATGTTTTGAATTCTCCTTTTGAGAATTCCTTGCATTAGGAAAACATTTAAACCTCTTTCTGCGAAAGGATGGCGTAAGCTGAATGTTAATTATGTGTTATGACTTCGTGGATTACGCATGTATGTATGTGTATGAGTAAGGTAAGATATTCGTAATATTTATGAATCGGAATAAAAAATTTACCGAGATACTTTAGAAAAAGCGTTTAACTTGATTCTAGTTTTGTTCTTCTATCGTATACTATTCCCAATGCACAGCCGAGCTTTAAAACTTATCTATGCCACAGTTAATTTTATTATGCGTGTGTTCAAGCGGGTATTCTGTGAATGGGAGTTACGAGTATTAATAATAATTAGAGTAAGAATGAGTTAACTTCCCCCTTATTCATTCTTTTATTTTTTAATTTAATTTTTTCTATACTTTCACTTCCTCGACAGCTTTTGATTTGTTTCTGTAAGAATTATATACTTTTACGGTTCGTGCTTTCATGCCATCTGTGCACATCCGGTCTTTATTTTTTGCCCTCACCCTACTCTCTTCTTCGGTTCTTTCCATTTATTCCATTTTTACCTTTGCCAGCTTCTCATTTTACTTCCGCTTCCGTTTTGTATTGTGTTAGTAATTGTATGCACAAAATATGGAAATATTTCTTTAATACATACATACAAACATATGTTTGCATAAACTTATTTTCATAATTAATCACATTTCTTATTTTTGTATTTTCGTTTAAATACAAAATAAAATAATTAAAAAGGCTCCTTGAAGAAATGCACAAAAAACGTGGCTTGGATGCAACGCAAGTTCCTGTAGGTGTCTGCAAGTATAATTTCTACGGAGTCAGCATATTATGCCCCTTCACTGCGGCAAGCAAAATATCACTCATCGTAACTTTGGTTCTTTTTATTTGGAATTTTGACTTCATCGACATTCAAATCGTCCGAACACTCCTTCATATAGATGATCTAGAGTATCGCCGTGGATTTCGCTGGTTATAGTAGTAGATGTTTCCATTCCTTGGGAAAGATCGGTGAGGTAGCAGTTTACCTCTGAACAAATGTTATTAATATCCGACAATCGTTGGTATTTGTTTTGTTACAAAAATTTAATCATATGATCACCAATCAGCTGTTTTTCATACTTGCTATTTTCGATGGGATCAAATTTTCCCAGCACGAATTTGCAACTTTCTCTCCAACTAAGCGTCGAAATTGGGCTCTCTCGTTACTGAGTTCTTGGCTCAACGAACACGATTTAGTAAAGCTTTGTATTGTACAAATTGTTACTGCCCATCTGATCAGCGAACAAAACTAATTCAAGCTCAAACTAATTCCTGATAAGTGAAGGAAAATGTACACTTTTTATAGGAGCAGTTATTTAAAAAAAATGTTTTAAAATAAAAATATCAAAGCTATGAGTTTAATTTAAAATCATTTTTAGTAAGAATAAAGAAATATTTTGTCTATACAAAACAACAATTACTTTCAATAAATCTTGAATAGAAATATTTTTCATAAAGTCTGAATTTTTAAATTTTGCATGCATGCTCGAGAAGAAGAAGCATTTGTTATACATTCTCTGTTCTGTCGTTTTCGCGCCTGTTATTCGGCATTTTTCATCCTTCTTTCGTGTGTAGCACAGAACGTCCGGCAACAAAAGTTTTTCGTATCACCGCAAAACCAGAATTTGTTGATTCAATTTATAAATTTCCACTGAAAATATATAATTGTGAATCAACGAATCTTCTGAGAAAATCGCAAGTTAATTTTATCTTAAAAGGACCACTTCAACAATTATAAAAAGTATTAGTAATGGCAAAATTAGCAAAATCGGTGGAACACAAAAATTCCTTGGACAAAGTTAATGGTGAAGCAGTGGTATCTTCTTCGAGTGGGTTTTTAAGTGGTGATGAGGATGGAATTGTAGCTGCTAAAGGTAGAGGACGTACCCGTAAAACCAAAAATGAAGAAATTACAAAAATGGATTCGGTTCCAATAAAGAAAGTGGCGAGGCAGGCAAAAAAAGCTAGTACTAGCAAGGGACGCAAAAAGTTGCCGGTCGAAGAAGAAGAGGAACCAGTAGTTGCAGTTGTATTAACTGTTGAACCACAAGTTGAAAAGAAACGAGCCGTTGCTAAAAATCGAACCAAAAAGGCTACAGAAGACGAGACCACGATAGCAAATGGTAATGTAGAAGTTGCTACTGTGGCAGCTTCAGCTAAACGGGGAAAAAAAATTGTGGCAGCAAAAGTGGATGAGGTTATTGAAAATAATAATGGAACCGCACTAACCAAAGGAAGAGGTATACAAAAAAAAATATATTAATAGTTGAAATATTTAACCTGTGATTTTCTGTGTCTAGGCCGAGGTAAGAAAGCTGCTGCTGTTGCAGAGGCAGACGTTGAGGAACTATCAACAGCACCCACGGTAGAGGAAGAACCCAAAAGTAACAATAAAAAGCAAAGGAAAACTGCTAGAGTCGTTCCCAAAGCAGAAGAAAAACAAACAGTCAAAGAAACAAAAAAGAAATCTATTAAAAGCAAAACAGAAGAGGAGCCTATTGAAACGAACACGGATGAACAAGCTATGTTGGATAAAAAGAAAACAAAGTCAAGTGGCAAAGTTAAAAAGCAGGATGTAAAAGAAATACCTATTGCGTCACCGGAAAAATCTGCTGAGAAACCCGTGAATCCCAGAGCTGCCACTAAAAGGAAGGCAGCAAACAAAGAAGCAGTCGCAGATAACTCAATTGAAAAATACCTAGAAGAAGTGAAAGCTGAAGTTGAAACGGTGGAGGATGAAGACAAAGCTATAGCTAAAAGTATTAAAAACGACTAAATTGTGTTCTTTACACTAAACATAATAACATTTTGTTGAATTTATAGAAAAGTCCAAAAAGGAACCAAAGGAAAAACCACCGAAAGAAATCAGACCAAGGGGTAGGGCGGCAAAAGCTTTGGAAAAAAGCGCGGAAGAAGAACAAGAAATCGGTGAGTGGTAAAAATCCGAATAAATACAAACTTATTAAAATAATTTTAATATTATTGGCAACGTTTTTCATAATTACAATTAATTCATAATTTGCCTTCAAAATTGATTGTTGTAATATGAAAAATCGAAGTATAGATACCTCCATTATTGTAGAAATGGCATGTATTTTTTTTTCATTTTTTAACAGGAGTTGTAGAAGAGAAAATAGGTACAGGACGAAAGCGTGCAGCTGTGCCCGCAGGCAAGGATGACATCAATGGCGCTAAACGTTAGTATTAAAACCAGACTATTATGTAAAAATATTTCAATTAAATCTTTTATTCTAGCGGCAAAAGCTAAGAAAACCGATGGTCCCCTCATGAATTCCACAGTTACTAAATATAATAAAGAGGATTTCATATTGCCCACAGATGAAGATGGATCGGAACGATACAATTTAAAAATCTCTAGCTGGAATGTGGCTGGCTTGCGTTCATGGTTGAAGAAGGATGGCTTACGCTTTTTGGAGTATGAGTTACCAGACATATTTTGTTTGCAAGTAAGCAGTGAAATATTTTATTCAGTATTGCGTTTTGAGTGATTTATTTTTATTTGATTTTTTTTCTGACAAAAACAGGAAATTAAATGTACTACGGATCAAATGCCGGATGAAGTTGCACGAATACCAGGATATCATCCATATTGGCTGTGCATGCCCGGTGGCTATGCCGGTGTTGCTATCTATTCCAAAATAATGCCCATAAATGTTGAATACGGTATTGGTAATGAAGAGTTTGATGCTGTTGGGCGTATGATAACCGCTGAATATGAGAAATTCTTTTTAATTAATGTATACGTACCGAATTCTGGTCGAAAGTTGGTAAATTTGGAGGCACGCATGCGTTGGGAAAAACTTTTCCAAGAGTACGCAAAACGTTTGGATGCGAAGAAGCCGCTTGTCATATGTGGTGATATGAACGTTTCGCACCAGGCCATAGATTTGGCAAATCCAAAATCGAATACACGTTCCGCCGGTTTCACCCAAGAGGAACGTGATAAAATGACTGAACTATTGGCTTTGGGCTTCGTTGACACTTTTAGGCACTTGTATCCAGATCGTACAGCTGCCTACACCTATTGGACATACATGTCCAATGCACGGTCAAGAAACGTTGGTTGGCGTTTGGACTACTACATTGTGTCGCAACGTTTCACCAAGCGTGTAGTAGATAACTGTATCCGGTCGCAAGTGATGGGCAGTGATCACTGTCCAATAACACTATTTTTGAAAATGTAAAACTCTTAAGCTTAAGTCCTTAATAAGCATTGCGTTTATTTGGTAACTATTCATTTATTATGCATTTTAACGGCATTTTTGTTATAATCCTATGGTTATTGTATGTACTCTGTATAATGTCACAATTCCAGTTTGCTAATTTAATAACACTTTTCCAATTTAATTGTTTCATGTGGCATTCTACTGTGGATGTAACTGCATTCCTATTTGTATACGTTTTAGGTATTCTCATCTTTTGCATTTCCAAATATTTAAATATAAAAAAACCATAAACATTAAAGTAAAAATAAATTTGGGTAAACAATTTTGCGCTATTATTTGTATATCTTTGCAGAAAGAACAAGGAATTCGATTAAACAATGAGTATGTTAAAAAAATTTATTTTTAAACAATTAATTACAGTCGTTTGCAACATTTCGCTATCGAAAACTTGTTTCATCCAATTAAACTGTTGGGGCATTAACAAATGCACCAGCGAATAGAATATTTTTCTTATTCCAAATGGTGTAGAAGAATGGGCGATCGGCTATAAATTGTAATGGAATGAGCAGACAACGAGTCATCATAATCATAGCTACGAGTACAAGAAAAATAAAATATTTATAGTTAAAAACACAATTTTAAGTCTTGATTGTACAAATTACCAGTAGCTGCAGCAGCCTCAGTGCCCTCTTCGTTAACCTCAATCACTGCCTTATGGAATATATTAGACACACGAAGTTCCTCGGGTGATTCTAGCATGTTGCTGAAATCTGCGTCATCATTAAAAATTTTGCTAATACCGAGCTGGAACATTTAGTAAAAAGAAGAAAAATATAAAGTAATACAAGGCATAATCATAATTTATAAAGTTTGCATATTTTATATTTGCGATATTAAATTCTTTCTTAGCAGTAATTCTCATCATCATTTATTGTTTTATATTTTACTACTAACAAACAGTAGCCAAGGAAACGATAAAGAGTTTATTATCAAAAAATATTTTATGCCAATATACTGTATTAAAAATAAAAGGTACGCGTGTGATAAGGAGGGGAAGTTGATAAGAAATTTTAGTGGTGACCAAATGATTATTTTTAAACATTACTCCACTAAGCTTGATAATGAAATGAGAAACTCAAACTCCTACAAATGGGTTACGTTAAAATCTGGTGTGGCCAAACAAATGAATGTAGTAACTATAGTTACAACAAATCCATATACATACAAATGCATGTACTTCTGCAAATGGTAATTAAGCTTACCTTCTTGAGTGTATCCGTTAGTTCCACTTCAAACTCCACCTTGAATTTTGGCAGTTTGACTACAATTTCTTCGCTGTTATCGAGATTGCCTGCTAATTCCAACAAATTTACAGATTTTAGTTTCTCACCAAGCGATTTCAGTCCCTCCCGTTCGCTAGGCAACAAAACCAACATCGATAAATCTGAATCTTTGTAAGGCAACTCGAGTGCTTGACAGTCAAGCTCTTCAAAATAAGCAAAGCCAAATTTCGCTTTCTGATTCATGTATTCTACTTTTACTGACTCGTTTTCAGAAATCCAAAAATCATCTTCAGCAGTTTGCTCTGCATCGAACTTATGCTCCCAAAGACCTTTAAAGTGTAAGGCATTCAAAAGTACCAATCGAGTTAGAGCATTGAAGGCGGTTTCCTGAACTAGATCTTTAATTTTTCCAGCAGTTTTATCTTCTACCCAAGAATTTATAGCTTTAGCAGTATTTGCTCCTTCTTCAAAATTTATCGCTTCAGTCTCGGCATTGTAATATTCTTTGAGATCATTCTCATACTGCTGTTTTAATTGGAGTCCCTGTTGAACATAAACTTTATTTGCTATCTTCAATATTTCACTATCCTTGTATTTGTCACAAACGAAACCGAAAGTTGAAGCCACTTCGGGTTGGAAGTTAGATGGGAATTTGAAGCCTTCAGCTATTTCATCAGCGGTCTCACCATTAGCCCCGGCAAATGCCAGTGCAGCACAAGTTTGTATAGAAAAAGGTGAGTAAACAATGTTTTGCTTAACTCCACCAGCGGAAAGTAGTTCGAAGAGTTCTGTGGCCACTTTAGCACCACCACGAGCAAATTCCAGATTGAAATCAAACATTTTAGTAGAATTTGCTGATTTGAAATTTTTAAATCTGAGGAATAAAGTATTAAGTAACACAATTTTTTATTTATTTATTTTAACGCACACTTCCTGTCTTGGCTACTGCTGCTGATGGAATGCGGTGTGGTCCGTTTTAACACAAACTCTATACTCACCGCTCTGTGGCATTAATTCATCATGACTCATTTGCCCAAAAACCATTTTTACACAACAATACGTGCCGCATCCACTTGGGAGAGGAATGGTAAAATGTTAATAATCAATGGCTGATAAACCCATAAGAAATAGTGCTATGCGTTCTCCATTACTACTCTCTTTAATATAACGTTTTTAAAGAAAAGAAAAAATTGTTGCCTTCCCATTAAGACGCATGTGTGCTTATATATGTGTTTGTTTATTTATTTATATTCATATTTTTGGAAAACAGATGTTAGAAATAAACAGCAAATAATTCATGTTTAAGATAAAATTTGGATAAGATGACCAACTAAAATGTTTCAAAAATTCAGGAAATTCGCGAACATAGAAACTAAAGCACTTTTATCATAGTTCCAAAATCTACATGGCGTCAAAGGTGAAAGTATAGAATCGCAAAAAACGCTTTTATTTAATGTTTATATTACTTTGTTAACTTATAACATTCAAATTCAATTAAACTCATATCTGAAATTCCTCGAAAAATGCCGTCAGAATCTTTTTTTACCTTCTCAATTCATTTCTGACATTTGTGTAAAACAGCTGTTTATGCCGAATAGCAAAATGTCAACAAATAGCAGTTTTTATTTTCTTTTATACACAGCAACGAATAAAATAATTTGGACTCGCATCAGAAATAGACGTAAACAAAAAGTATAATATTTTGTTATAATGGTGAAACTAAAATAATATAAATAGACTGTGAGCAGAGAAGAATAGAATACAGTGATTAGCAATAAACAAATAGCGAAAATGGATCCCTGGATTTTTCTCAGCGTGATAGTTGTGCTGTATTGCGTTTGCTTTTTCATTGATCGCCTTTTCAAGGTAAGACACTCCTGCTTGCACTTTGCACATCTTATAAATAAAAATGAATAAATATGTATGTATATCATGTTTATTTCAGAGTTGTATGCACTACCCGTATGATGCATTTCTCAAGAATACTGGCCTGACTGTGCAATTTATGCGCTTGCGTTGGCATACCACGGCATTTAATCGTGCCATGCTGCGTTGGGGCAACAACAGCGCCTGGATGCGTCTGTGGCTAATACGCAGTTATACAGTCGGGGTTTTAGTAGCCTTGTCATTGTTACCCATCGGTATTATATTATTATTTATTACAATATTTAATGGCGAAAATAATGGCGGATCAAACTTGGGTGCTGTAAGCGCTGGTGGTGCCGGAAATGGTGTAAGAGCTGAAAGCAGTGTACTACAGAATGCACCAAAAGTAGAGATTTTATTGCCAGGAGTGAATTTGCCGATTGAGGAAGTTGGTTACTATGCATTGACTTTGCTTTTGTGTACAATTGTGCATGAATTCGGTCACGCATTGGCAGCAGTACAGGAGGATATACCGGTTATTGGTTTTGGTTTTCAGGTGCGTCTTAAAATATTTTAATATATAAATTTGTATAATATACACCTTATTTTAGTTGTACTTATGCCTACCATTTGCGTATACTGAGATCTCGACCGATCACTTAAATGCTCTAAAGTGGTTCAAAAAGTTGCGCATTATCTGCGCCGGAATTTGGCATAATTTCATATTCGCTTGCTTTTGCTACCTGCTACTTTCGACACTCAGCTATGTGGCTGCACCATTTTACACTATTGACCATGGCGTTGTGGTAACGGATATGACACGCAATTCGCCTCTACTGGGTACAGCCGGCAAAGGGCTGATGACTGGTGATATTGTCTCACAGATTAACGACTGCAAAGTGGACACGGAGTCAGACTGGTATGCGTGTCTCAAACGCTCGATACGTGGTCCACATCTTGGTTATTGTGTTTCACATGACTTCATACGTTACAACGATGAAAGTATCGAAATATCACATCACAGCGCCGATGGTATGCTGCAATGCTGTGATGAACGCAATGAGAAGCTTTGCTGTTTTGAATCTGTTACAGAAGGCCTAAATAACTTGGAGACTGCAGAGTTGACAGATGCCGTAGATCACGCCCAAATACCGCAACATGTCTGCTTAGATGTACGACGAACGATAGAAGACTCTCATGGCTTTTGCAGTGGTAGCATAAGCAAATCCAGCAACTTAAATAGCGGTAGTTTCTGCTCGACCGGCTTCTGTTTGCGGCCTCTGCTGCGCAACACAACTACAATTTTAACCTTCAAGCGTAGCAGCAATAGTGGCAACAGTAAATCATCGAAATTACGCGATGTAATCTACATCGGTCATCCGGCTGACGTTTTTAGCACTGTACGAATATCACCATTTGTGCCACGCCAGTCTTATGTGTCCCCCGAATGGGGTGACGCCTACGCTCTCTTCCTCAAATATAATGTGATTTTTAGTTTTGGACAGGCACTATTAAATGCCATACCATGTTTTGGTCTAGATGGCTATCACATTACAAGCACGATCGTGCATAGTTTTCTAGTCCAGCGCATCACTGAACGTCCTAAACGTGATTTTGTAGCATTACTCGTCGCTGGCACAGGCACACTACTTTTTGGCTCGGCACTCTTAAAAGTGCTTTGGATGAGTGTAATGCGTTTTGTATATTAGTCGTAAACTATGTGCTACGTTTTTATGTGTATCTCAATTTCTATAAAGACGATTATTTATTATAGATACTTACACATAAATAGTGTAGAATAAGTGAAGCGCAATTCGTGCTTAATGATATAGATATGTTAATTTATAATTTTTCTACCAAATAACTAGATGCTGTAGTAATTAATCAAATATTTTTCTGCAATTAAAAAAGCGACGATTGTAGATGCTGACGCAAATTGCAAGCATTAAATCGAGTTAACATTTCCCAAGAAAGTAGACGCATGCGTACGTACACGTACGTCAATACGAAATAAGTTAATTTAGGAACTGTGTTTGATTGAATAAGACACAAAATTTGAACTGCTGAACTACCAAATAATATGCACAAAACTGGCAAATAAATTAAGATGCTATATTCAAATAAAATAAAATATTTGTTTTGGTTTCCGTATAATAGGTAACAATTCTGCTTATTGCAAACATATACACATGAGAAGGCAAATACCACTGCACTGAAGTAGTTCTAGTTTACTTGTACTTCATCTAATTTTTAACCTCTTCACTTTTTCCTTTCTTACTATCCTGCACTGCTTTATTATTCCCTTTGCCCGAACTAACACCACTTAAATCCAAACTTGTCTGCAGCTCTGTAAGACTACGTCGTCCATACTGTAGCATCATTTTAATAGCTAATTCATCTGTTTGACCACTATGTACACGAAAATCATGTCGCGCCCAATCACGTAATTCTCGCTGGTTACTCTTGTCAGGCACGAGTCGTATGGTGCGGAATATCTCTCGATACAGCTTCAGAACATCCTGCCGCAGCATAAACTACAAATAAAACAATTTAATTCAGAAAATTCAAAAGTTAACTGAACATTTTGTCACTTACTTGCTTTAAATTTAACGCTGTTTTCGGTAATTTTGTCATTTTGGTTTATAAATTAATAAATTTAACTCCTAAGCATTTACTCAGCTGTTTTCTCATTTTTTTATCTATGTTCTCAGTAAAATGCCAAACACAGCTGATTTCGCTTTTTGTTTTGCTATGATTCTTTATTAAATATCTCTATTTTTTTTATTCCGTTTTGGCATTTTTTTTTATGCAAAATTGGTTCTTATCTTTGCTTAGCGGCGAATAAGGCCAAGACTACCAGCTCATATAAATTTCACCACATTCACCATCAACAACGTGCCATAAAACAAATTCGCTTTCCTTTAAAGCAATCAGATCTAAATGGATAGCGTGATTAAGCGGTTCTTTAGCACGGATGTTAAAATATAAGAAATAGCGGAAATGCAATAAAATTTTCCGCGTTCGTTGTTTTGAAAAAATCGTGAATGTTTAAAAGAAAACACACCTGTAATTCAATTACATATTTGCTATAAAAAAATGAGAGAGAATTGTGTGCAGCAGGCAAAGGTTGAACAAGTGCATCTACAAGAAGAAATAATAAAAATCTGTTTTGATGTGCAGTAAATGAAAAAATTAGAAGAAGAATTCAATCATTCCAATTGTAGGTACGCATTCGTGTTTTTGTTTATTACCTGTGTGTTGCAAAAGATACCATTTTCCAATAGCAATCGCCAGCAGCAGTTGAGCATTTGGTCTTTGATACATAGTTTAGATATTAAATAGAAAAGCTAACGTAAAATATGTATTTGTAAAATATTTACGCATGCATAAGTATTTGTGAATATATTTGAGAATCTTCAATTGAAAATGTGATGAAGCGGAATAAATAAATACTTAAAAACAAGCAAAATAAAATAAATCAGCAAGCAACACATGTGACACCCATACAATTAAGACAGAATAGCGCTCGGAAACTGTTTTTTTTTTTTGAAAAGGTCACATGAAATAACATATAGAATATTAGTAAAGTTTTAAAATTAAGTGAGAATGCACTTTTGCGCCTACTTTTCATGCTTTAATAATTTCTGTCGACACAAATGTCTTAACAGATGACTTTTGCTTAATTATAAACATTAATGTATGAACATGTGTGTACATACATACATATGCAGGTATGTTCATTGTGTCCAATATACAAATTGCCATTTCTATATATACATACATATCTAAGTGAATGTGCAATATATGCTTTTTTCTCTTGCAAATGTTTTCTCGCTTCCCATATGCACACTTGAGAAATTGTCTTAATTAAACAATAAATTAATAATTTTGCTAATGTTATTTTTTTTTTGTTTTCCATTAATAACAACGTTATTTTAGTTGTTTTTTGCTCGTAGCCGTTTTTCACGTACAACACGAAATTAAATGATCGGTATGCAAATTAGCAATTTGATATGTCGGGAGAAGGCTTTCAGAGCAACGATTGGCATGAGATAAAATTCAAACGTATTATTTAATAACATTTTTAAATAATGTGATACTTTACTTTGTATAAACATATCTATATATACAAATACATATGTACATAAAATCGTGACCAAAAAAAAATTCTAAGTTATGTGCTGTGAATTAGTCTATTTTTTCTTTCTTTAATTTAAAAATTGTTAACCGAAGATTTTTGCATTATTTTGCAGACAAGATTTAAAAGTGAAAAAAGTTATTTCTCTCCTTCGCTATATTGTATTCCATTTCATGCCACAGAAGAAAGTAATTGTGCATACACACACGGGAAGATGTGTAATTTTTTAAATATGTACGAGTTCTTTTAAAATTTTTACCCCTCAATTTGCTTTCGTTTTCATTACAGATTTCAATTTCATTCTGAAGCCAAATTGTAAGAAATAAAATATTAAGAACGAAAATTCAAAGAAAATCAAATAAAACGTATCTAAAAGTTAAAAATAAATAAAAATTCTCTCACCAAAGAGAACAAATGAAATAAAATAACTGAATATTTGCTCACGAGAAACTTTCAAAATGAGTGAATCGCGCAGTCATACTCAAAGTGCTTTTGTTGTGTTTTCGCTGTTCGTTCAAAAGGCACTGCTTGCAGGAAGCCACTACTTTGGTTTGGAGCAAAACGGTTAGAATGTGGCGCGCAAGGCTTATTTGTTAGCGAAACGTGAACGAGTGCGGTCTGGTCTGGCCAATGAGTCCAGCGGAATTCGAGTGATTTGTGTCGATAATATATACATAATTGTAGTATGTATGTGTATGTGTGCTTGTTTTGTGCTTGAGTGTTTTTACAACGTATATACAGTAATAATAATTTACGAAAAAAAAAAATTTAAACAAAAGTAAAAGTTGAAAATGAAAGAGATTTATTTAAAAAAAAAGTGTAAATGTCATGAGAACTAGTTACTATATTCTTTTACAAGATGTGTGCATGTGTATTAACGTATATGTACATATTGTCTGCGCCCATCGCACTCTTTATGCAGATATATGTACATATGTACGTATGTAAATGTGAATTGGAAGCTATTTTTGGATTAGAAGCAACATGCGCTCAATGAAATGTGGAAAATCTTAGCAAGAAAAAAAAGGTTTTTAATATATAAGAAATGTGGAAATGCTTTTTTAAAAGTATTTAATTTACGAACGTATAGTAAATAATAAATAATACAATAAAAATTAAGTTATTGAAACAAAAACGATTACGAAATAAATTCAATTGGGCTTTGTTATATATTAAAAATATATGTAAATAAAGTGATGAAATATGAAACAAAATAAATTTAATAACATACAATTAATTTATTGTGACTATGGTAAATATAATAAAATAAGCTAAATCGAAATAATATAAATTAATAAAAAAAAATAAAATAAAAAAAACAAAAAATTTAAATAACACACTTATGTTTACATATATGTATGTAGATCAGAAATGCAAATAACAGTCGAGTATATAAGTGTAAGAAGTGCCATACGTACATACATATGTATTTCGCGCTATATTTGCATGCCTGAAAAACGCAATTCCAATTCTCCGATTTTATTTTTTTACAGTAAATTTTCAAAAAATTCTTAACTCTACCAACATCGTCATCCGCAATCGTATTGCATGTCATTTATTCGGAACTTTTTACATTTTCCAAACGTTGCCTCGTGTTACTCGATACTTGGTAACATTTCAACGAAAGTATTAAATTACTGAAAAGTTGACGGGAAGGCAGACATGAAACAAATGCACGTAAATCAATGTGTAAAAAGATACGTTTGCCTTAGGGGTATCTATGTGTTTACGTGTTTGTGTATGCGTGTTTGGTGTAGATGAATTTATATAATGATGCCACAGTCGTACTCAAGGAGAATATATTTACATATATGTACATACATATGGATGTGTGAAGAATTACCAATAATTCACAAACATATTCGAAATTAATTTGTGATTAAAAAATAGTTAAGGAGTTCGAAACAAAGATATGCAAAATTAAAAAAATTTTATATATGTACTTATGTGATTTAACGACAATTACTTATGTAACACAATAGATTTTATTTATTATATTAAAATCAAATGAAAACTAAGAGTGAATTAATTTTTTTTTTGCTTAAATTGTTTACATTGCTCATTGCAATAAATCAACGCCTTAAACCAATTAATCTTTCTCGTTCGTTACAGTAAATTTTAAAACCCTTGCAATGTAAAGTTGTAAAAAGTGAGAAAATTATAAGAAAAAAAAATCATACAAAAAAAACACTCTATATTTGTTTGCTATAATAAAAGCATGTCCAAGAAATCCTTACCTTTGTGTGTTGGTACGAAAATAAAAGCAAAAACTGCGTCTATAGAGAAAATACATACTACAGCAACAGCAACAACAACAACAACAACAGCAACAAGTGACATAGCTAAAAGTTCGAATTTGACCGGCGATATTAGTACCACAACAACAATGCAGGCGGTGAAAATAAAAAAGGAGCTACCCAGCGATGAGATAAAGGTGGGTGAGAATATATATGTACATACATACATACACGTATACTATATGTATAAACACAAATTTATCATTTTTTTTCTAACGTGCGTGAGAGCGCCTCAAAATGTAATGTACACAATGGCCGTGTGCAAGTGACAAATTTTGAAACTTAAACCTGATTTTTATAAAACTTTTACACAGCCATTAATATATAATAAAAATATACCGTTAAATTAGGCGTGTATTATGTATTATGATTTAAACCATTTAATGGCTGAAATAATATAATTTAACATTTAAATACAATTTGGCGCTATTCTTTGGTGATTTTGGTTTACGACACCGTTATTATAATTACATTTTAACCTTCTCCTCAGGGATTTGTAAACATATAAATCATGCTAGCTGACAAAAGAAAAACAAAATCAAAATATGCATTGCAAGTACAAAAATCCTTGCTGTTGACTGCGTAAACAAAAAATATGTCAAGAAATGTAAATATGTATACATACTTTATGACAATCGGCAATTAATTTTAATGGAGTGTGAGAAACATACATACACGCATGTATGCACATTTATATGCATATTCTTACAAATCAACTGGTGCAACTTTTTGTTTCCTTTTTGTCTCTTTTCAAGCGATTTTCATTCATTGCTGTTCGCGATTGTTTGAAAGAATTTTCATTTCCATAAATTTTAAGTTTATTTACTTGCGATTTCGTTGACATTGAATCGCCAATATTGTTTGTATGCCAAGTTATAGTATAAAAATGAAAAATTAAAAAAAATTTACATAAATGTGTTAAAAATGCTATTATTTTATAATAAAAAAAAATATTTCTTTGAAAAAACAAAAATTGAAAAAGACTATTGTTTTGTTTCAGCCTAAAAAAATTATATTAATGTCTTGCACTTCAATCAAAGACCAAAATAATAATAATTTAACGTCATAATTCGCAGTGTGTATTTTTCAAAAATCCGCGTCCTTCATTATTGTGATTTTTATTTATTCTCGTACACTGATTTTGCCTCCTCTCAATGTTTTGCTTTGTTTACACTTCGTAAAATAACCTCATTGCTTTTGCAAATAAATTCGTATGAACAATTGTTGTAAATATATACATACATATTTTTATTTATAATATATTTTTTGTTATTTACTGCTTTTACATATTACTTATTTGTTCTGCTATTTCATCGCATGTACGAGTATTTTGTTTTCGAATTTCAAATTTAGCATATGACTTAATACATGAGCAAGCCCATGGATGAGGTGAGACAGGGTTGCGGCGAGTGGGGAGGGTGAATTGCATTTGCTTTTTTTCGGCAGATTAATGTGCATAATATATATATATATGTATGTATATTTGCAGAATTATATGTATAAAAGTATTCAGTTTAGTGTAAGCAGAGATAGTATATATGTTTAAGTCTAATTCATTTACGAGTATACATACATACATATATTTTGTTTACATGCGCTTTGTTGAAAAATGCTCGCGAGGGACTCAAAATGTTTTGCTAAAACCTTCAAATATTAAATAATATAATCCGTTTGAAAGAAAACTGTTTAATGTCATTGAAATAATCTGTAATTTACTGTTAAATAATAGATTTTGAAAAATTTTGAATATCAAAAATCTATGTTTCACTATTATTGATCTATAAAAAGATATATTCGCAAAAATATTGGATTTTGAATTTTTTTTAATGCCAAAAACCAATGTTTATCGCATATTGATTAATAAATCAAATATTTTTCTTTCAGCTGTGAGTTTGAAATAATAAGGATTGATATTTTTTAAAAGTTGAAAATACCGTTTTATTTAATGCCAATCTTCAAAATATTAGATTTAAAAAAATTTTAAATTTCAAAAACTTTTTTTTATAGTGTAGCGTAGTGTGGAAAGTGCGAGAGTTTAGAAATCTGAGGTTATTCAATGAAGTTATTGTTTTTATTGTAGTTTAGTCGGTTTTGTTGCAGTTTTGAAAGCAAAAAAAAAAGTTTCAATTTTGAAATGTCAAACATTTGATAAATATTTTTCAAATATTTCTCAAATTTTATTTACATAAATTCCGAAACTTAATCTTATACCGGAGAAAATATTTAGAAGAGCAACAATAGCAAAGAAAAGGTATAGAAAAAATCTCAAAGCTAAAAACCTTAAAAATAATTTCCAATTACGCGACCATACCGCAAAAAAAGTTAAATAATTTAAAAAAATTCTAAAAAATTGAATCAAAATACTTTTTTATTAATTTTTAATTGCAAAATAAATATTTCTGGTAAGTTTACGCATCGCATATTATATTTAAAAAATACTTACCATGTATGTATGTGCGTATGTACACAAAAACACATACCTATGTAGATATTATTAGGTATCCAATTGTTCAAAAGCACCAGCATTTGTATTTTTTATCGCCTCGAAAGTAAAATTGAAAGTATACAAATTTATTTCGCTCTTTTGCATGCTTTACTTACACATACGTAATTTGTATAGATATATAAATAAAAAAAAAACTTCTGCTTTTTCATCTTCGCCATCAGCAATGTTTGCTTGCTTGGTGTTGATCGCCTGCCTTTGGCTAACGTTCGTATGTGTTTGTTAATTTTGTTTAATTTTCATTTTTTTGTTTCTGTTTTAATTAAAAATTACAACAATAAAGGAGAAACGTATGCACACATTTCACAGTTATATATATGTATGTATGCAGAACATAAAAGATTAGCAACAGCCCACCAAATGGAGAATTTCCAATTAGAAACAAGAAAAGGTATATCGAATAAAGAAAAAGAGAATTAATATTTGTATTTGTAGTGGCAATTTTTATGGAAAAGATCATCTCCAAGCAGCAATTTGATTTTTATATCTCTTTACTGTTAATACATACCTATGTAAATATTTATATATGTACGTTTGTGAACCTCGTTCTCATCTCGCAATATAAAATATTTTAGGAAAATACACACTTAAATATACATATATTTACGTATAACCATCCTGTGGGGCTATTGACCTGATTATGCCGCTGTTGTTATATGTATGTACACGTATGGTTGAAGAGCATAAAACTGCAGCCACAAGAGGATCTATAAAACGCATCACATTTTGAGGATTAAAAATAACATTCTGTAGACGAAAAAAAAATCAAAAAACAAAGCAAAAATATATGTATTAATAAACAAGCTAATAATAAACATTACACGCCGCTTGAGTAGGCAGGCGAGTGAGTGCGTGAGTGAGTTATAAAAATGTAGCTCAGGGAAGCACAAGTAGAACCGTTCTATGCTACATGCCTTTCATGTGATGAGATTATTTTCATTTCAGATTTAAAAATATTTAATTAATCAAAAAATAAATAAAAATATGTATTAATAATATTAAAATAATTAAAAACCGTTTAACTGTCAGTTTTATGTTAGCTATATGTTATAGTAGTACGATCTTAATTCGTTAGGGTTAGTCAGGGGTATGAAAAAGTGAGAATTTTCAATCTATTTCTTGATCGCAAATTATTTTATTGAATAAATTAAATTTTTTTTAATAAAAAATCCTTAAGAAATAAAATTAAAAAATTAAAAAAAAATTCAAACACGTAAAATAAATATTTATTTTTAATAAAAAACTAAAAATAAATCAAAAAAGTTAAAAAAATATCATAAAAATAAATTTTTTAAAAGTTTATACTGTTTGTGTAGATCCATACAAAAATAAATATATTGGGGTGACTACCACGAACCCTTGGTGATTCATCAGAAAACAGTTGGGGAAAATACATATACGTGTATATTTTTAAATAAGTTGTAAAGCGCCGGTTTGAATAACGGCTTCACGATAATTTTTTATAAATCTTCGACAAAAATTGCCTATAAAAAATTAGAAATAACCTTTTGGCCTTAAACCATTGCTTTTTATTACCAAATAACGCGGATTCACTTCAAATGTTCAGACAATATTTCAAAAAATGTCATACAATACAAAAAAATTATAGAAACAAAAAAAAACGAAGAGATTTTTGGGATGTTACGAACACCACTAACCACTGAAAGATCTCCACTGTCACTATAACAATCAAAACATATAAAGGTAATACCAAATTTAACGATTTTAGCTTCAGAAAGCGCAACGTTTTTTGAACAATCAATTGTCCACTAGCTACAGGGTATAGACAGCCGATTTGGCCAATTTCCTACTCGTGATTAGTGTCGCTCTAAAAGCAAATACAAGAACAAGTGATGAACTCAAAACCACTGAACATATCAAATATTTTTTTAGTACCGAAAGCAATATTTGGTTATCATTATCTCTCTACGAAGGGTATAAGCATATGCTTTCATTCAAAAGCGATGTCTTCTACTCCTTGGGCATACACGAGTATGCATGTGTATGTGTAAGCAAGCAGATACAATTTAGCTTAGCGAAATAGTCAATCTCAGCGCAGCCATTAAGATTTGTTTACATTTGAGTTTCCATTGTGAAAATAGTACTATCTTCAACAAATATGTAAGTCCATTCATGCTGACCCAAAAGAGCTAACAACACACACAAACATATTTTCACATATGTATTGTATATATGTATATAAACCCAAAGTGACCACAACCAGATGTCCTTGCGAGCCTTTTAAAATTATTAAGATCAATATGAACAAAATGGACAAAAAGTAAATAAAAAAGTTATCTTAGAATATTTAAAGGAGAGAAAAGTTTGGAGACGTGGGCTTGTGAGGCACAACAAAGCAAAAAGCTCAGCAAATATCCAATTACAATGGCACAAAATGCATACATAAGTTAAACTATTTACATGCGCGCGTGCGTGTGTGTGTTTTTGCAGAATTTCCTAAAACACCAAAAGATTAGTAATACCTACGGCTATTTTTGTATGTATGTACATATGTACATACACGTATGTAAGTGCTGTGAGTGGGGTAAGCCGGCATTTGTTGGTGTCGGTTGGCATAGAGAGAGAATAAATAACCTTAAACTGGCCTGAAGACATTAAAAGCAGGCAAATAAG